ATGTGGCCTCCGGCTCCAGCCTGATCCCGTGGAGCTCGTGGAGACACAGCCTTGGCCCGCCTGTGATGCCCTGGGTCAGTCACTGGCTGCAGGCGGGGCGTCGGTGCCTAGGAGGTGCCAGCCAGGACAATTCTCCAGAGAAGTGGGTGCAGTGAGCCTTAGCAGCCAAGTCTCACAGCAGTCGCCCCACGGACCCTACTCCAGGTGGGGAGGCCCCAGGCAGCCAGCAAGGTGCCAGCCCACAGGCTCGCCTCGGCCAATTCTCCGCAGTCTGCCTGGGAAGCGCAAGGGCCCTGTCTCCAGAGGAGCACGAGGGGGCCTGAGGAACAGGTGACGAAAGGTTAGCAGAGCCAGGGCCAGACCCTTGGCCAAGTGCCCTTACTTCTGGAGCGGGGCTTCTAGCTGGGGGGGGGGGGGGGGGGTCACAGACTTGCGCCTGCCCCTGGAATCTCATGCTGGCTCTCTTACGTGTGTGAGTGGGTGTTTGGGGAGAGGAAATCCACAAGCGCCATGGAGTCTCAAAGGCAAGCAAACTAAATGGAATGCTTGGTCCTCACCTGCTTGTTCCCACAGACACGTCACTGACCAGGTGGGTATTACAGGGGCCCTGGGCTCAGGAGCCTCAAGACTGGGTGCACACAGCCGTGCACTCTGCCCTCTCCTCCTGGTATGGGTAGGGCGGCCCGGCTGGCCTGGAGTCTGGAGGAGAAGGTGCTTCCCCTCTTCATCGTGGGTGGGGCTGGGCCAGAGTTCTAGGGCTGAGCCCTACAAGCTGCCAGAAAGCAGTACCCAAACCAGGCCACCATCTACCCCTACAACACCTCCATGCAGATTAGAAAAGGCACCCTCATGGGAGGGACAAACTACAGAGAGCACCCGCTCGAGGTCAGTGAACTTCAGAAAGGGCCCCTTCTTCAGGGTGGGCTGGCCTGGGCCCTCCCCGTGGCTGCATTGCTCTGCACCATTTCTCCTACCTCAACCAGTCAGCTCTAGGGGACAAGTCCACCACCCTCACTGGGCCCCCAGAAACTGAGACCTGTGTCCAGGGTGAGAGAGGGAGCAGGGAAAGCCCGGGGTAGGTGCCTAGGGCTCTGCAATCTGAACTAGGGCAGAGCTGGGCCAGCATCTCAATGAACCTGCCGACAGATTCTTGGCCTCGAGCCAGCTGCACACCAGACCTGTGAAGGGACCCCGGCCGTGCCAGGCTGGCGGGGCTGCTGGTCAGGGCCGGGGAGCGCACGGCGGCCGCCTAGTCACCATGGCCATGGAGGCGCCCCAAAGGCAGCAGAGGCTGTGGGACACGAGGGTCCTGGGAGGCAGCGTGCCTGAGGCTCCCTTCAATGCGGTGACGTCCACTGAGCCCTGCCAGGAGCTGGTGGCATCTAGATGCGTCTGAGGGAGCGGGCATCTTGTGCCCTCTCTCTAACAACAGCCTGCTTGTGGGGACTGGGAGAGGTGTCCGGGGAGGGGTCCTCCATCAAGTTCCATTCCTTGGACCTCAATTCCTTGATCCCGCCT